TTTGTTTTTGCTTTTTTTTTTTAAAATTTTTATTTGGTTTTTTTTTTTTTTTTTTTTTTTTTTTTTGTTTTTTTTTTTTGCTGCTGCCACCATTGAACTTTAGTGGAAATGTGAAGTCATGGAAATGTGAAGACTTTGTTTTTTTTTTGGTGGGGGGGCTTTTTGCTGTTCAATTAGACATACTTCAAAATAAGACTCAATTTTAAAAATGCCAGAATTTGGAAATATTTTAGCTTTAAAATCAGATGCACAAGTAGCTTTAAAAAAGAACAACATTGGCATTAGTTTCAGAAATCAAGTTAATAATAATGTTCTTTTGTATATGAAACTGAAAAATTTTTTTTAGTCTTTTAAGATGAGGTCTCGCTAATATAGTACAGGCTGGACTTGAACTCACTTTCCTAGCCCAGCCTGGCTGCAAACTCATAGTGATCCTGCCTCAGTTTCCCAAGTTGCTGGGATTACAGGCATGTGCCACCATTCCCAGCTTTTATAAAATTTTAATTTTCATTAAGTGTTTATTCATTCACTTATAGTTTATAAACATGAGATTTGATATTTTAGTTTTCCATGGAATGTGGGTAAAAATCTCTTCCTACATTTTTAAAAATAATTTTTAATAATTTTACTTTTTAATTTTTTTGATATTTTGCTCTTTTGTTTTATTGAGACAGGGTGTTGCTGTGTAGCCCAGGCTAGAGAACTCAGAATCCTCTGTCTCAGCTTCTAAGTTCTGGGATTATAAGCATGTTCCATCACACCCAGCAATTATTTTACTTTTGGAAACTAGGAATTGGGTTAGCCATTTAATTTTTTAAAAATACGTTAGTTCAGGATTTTGTATGTGTGTGCTCCTGCTTTACATAAAGAAAACAATGTCTTCATTATTTTCCTTGTTGATGTCTTTTGCTGGGAAATGACCAAGAAAGAGCCATCAGACAGTTTACCATCTGAAATGCTTTATATACTCCAGTGGTGGTTCTCTTTAATTGCTTAGAGATGACTCCATAACCCCTTCGGTGGGTAGCATCTGAGCAAACAATTGAATACCTTGGTCTTCCATTTTAAAGATGCAAGGCCAGGGTCAACATTTGTGTTTCATAAAATTCATGTAACTTGAACTAACTCTGGGTTCAGCTTCATGTAAGTCATGTCTACCCTGATGTTAGCCGTAATCAGTTGTGAGCTTTAAGAATAGTTGCTGTTGCTTGAGTTCTGAATGTATGAGAAAACCTTGCTGTTTATATGTAGCTCTAATTTAGGTTATTTTAAATCCATGATTAATTTACATTCCCTTTTAAAATTATGGTGTATTTGCTGCAAGAGATTTATTTTTGTTATACTAAGCTATGGAATTTTTTTCATAAAATTTTTTCAAGTTTTTTTGTGTGCTTCATTTGGAACCATTTTTTGTTTATATACCTTGTATACATAAAATAGTTTTTAAAATTTCAGTAAGAGATTTGAAAACTATAAAGTTATGACTGACTGTTACAATCTTTGTATGTTGCTTTCATTTTCCATTTTAAATGCCAGTTTTCACAAAAATAGCAGATCTGTGTTAATGTCATCTTAATTAGTACTGTTTGTTTTCTTCCATGTCTTTGACCTAAGTTTGGTTTTAAAGAAAATTCTTGCACTACAGCCTTTTCAGAAAATGCAAGATTCTCACATTGAAGGTTTTTGTATTAGAAAAAATGCTACTGGTTTTAAAAGCAAAGCTTAGTGAATAGAATGGTTAGCTTTTCTTGACAGCTTTTTCTGTGTCCTCCTCCCTCGTTGCTGTGCCCTGTGTGCGTGTTACTCTCATTATCAAATACTGACTGAGCCCTTCGCTTACCTTTTCTAGAGCAGCACCTTCGGACACCTCATTCTGGGAAGCCTGCTTGCGTCATAGTAAAGGACACACATTTGTGTGGGGAGAAGTGGTAAACATGGAGAGTTTTGTCTTAATTACATGAAACTAAGCTTTAAAATATTTTATAACAAATTATTTGAGCTGCATAATCTAAACATGTCAGACGTTCAGTGGGACTATTTTTATATATGTATATGTGGGTGTAGGTCATAACATTTCAGTTTATAATATAAATTGTTCTTTCAGTTTATAAGCTATCTCTCAGAAGAGACTAGCTCTTTTGAGAATACGTAATTTAAAGTTTTAGACTGAAGTAAAACAGCATAGATATAGTGTAAATTAGATATAATTGAGGGCTATATGGCAGTAAAACTGCTAGTGCCAGTTTTCTTGTTTGCCTCCTATACATTTTTGATTTTTTTATTCCAAACATTTTTAGAGATCATACATTTGTTCAGTTGCATTTAGAGTCGGTTTGGGAATAAATATCTTCTAAAAAGAGATTTATCTTAAAATTAAAAGTCCTGAAAAATTAGTTTATTGAGAGTTTATAAAGTCAAATATTCAATAGGCATATGCTGGAATAGATAAGTTCATGGAAATCATATCCTGTCAGTATAGCAGTAAACCTTCAATATTACATGAGTAACGTTGAGAGAATGCCATCAGCTTTGTTCCCCCTAAAATTCTTGGATGTTCTTTTACATCTTTGGGAACAAGTGCGTTAAAATTTTATTAATCAGTATATCAGTAAGGATTGGGTGTTTGCTTTCTGGAGGAACGTTCCCGAGAGGTGATCAGAGAGGTTATTTTCTACCTAATTTGTATATGCCCTATACCTCTTGGGCATACTTTGTCTATAGAAAAATATTTTGACCTTTAGGTACATTTTGGGCCAGTAGTCAAATAATCCTAGGGCCAATATAAAAATCTTAGAACAATTTACGGTTTGCCTTTTATATCTGTTTTGAAAGCCTTTACATTTTTGTCAGGTAATTTTTCCCAAGCCGTGGATATAATCTATTCAAACATGTTTATGCTATCCATTCTGTTTTTAAATTGAAAAAATGTTAAAAGTGTTTATGAAGAAAAGTTTAAATAAAATATTTTTAATCTTTATCACAGTATTCTGTGTCTGTTTCCTATCTTTATGTTGTCCCTCCCTCACAGCGGAAGTGCACTATTGATTTGATCAGTAGTATACACTTTGTTTTCCTTCAACTAGCCAAGGAAGTGCCTGAAAATATGATTTCTACCAGTGCTTTCAGCCACAGATTCAAATGAGAACATTAGAGCAAAAAACTATTTATACTCTTATATGCAATGGAAATTTTATAATGAAGCCAAGTAATTAAATTTCCACTAACGGAGTTTTGCAGTTATGCGGAATGGAAATAAAGAACCGAGAAAAAGCATTTATAAGCCTCAAGCTTTATTTTGGTGAATTTTAGATTTCCATTAGCTTTTTACTCCTTAGTATGGAGGATTGAACCTAGGGTCTTCTCATTGAGCTACTTTCCCAGCCCCTTTTATTTTTTATTTTGAGATAGGGTCTCACTAAGTTGCTACTTAGAGAGTGGGCTTGAACTTTCAGCCCTCCTGCCTCAGCCTCCGAGTGCTAGGATTAGAGGCCTGCACTACCAGGCCCACTACCATTTTTGACTCACTATTGTTAAAGGTACAGTAGCACCTCAGTTCACAAACACTTTTTAGTTTGGTTCACAGACAAGCATTTGGCAAAACTGTGTTTTTCTTTGCAAACTGCATTGGATGACAAAAATGACCATGGCCGTCTTTCCCACACAAACATGAATGTGGCCATCTTTCCAAAATCGTGGATTTAAGTTCATAAACCAAGGTACCACGGTATTTCTGAAATTAGGGTTCTTTCAAATGGACTCTTAGGAAACCTCAGCAAGATTCCCCAGCACCCAGCATGTTTCTCCCTTCTGCTGGGTTCTTTCTGTGTGTTCATCTCCAGTTTTGAATTGCTTGCCCTTCCTTCTCTTTCCCTGCCTGTCAGAATCCACTTACTTTGCAAAGCCCAGCTCAAGTGCCCCTCCTGAAACCCATGTTCGCTTCCATTGAATCATTCAGTGCTTCTACACTCCACAAATTTGTAGCTCCTGTTTCATTTTTTTTGCATGCTAGTTGAGTGTAATTCTTTCTCCACAAGTAGATCATGGTCTCCTTAGATGAAAGGACCCTCTCATTTTTTTATGAGACAGGGTCTTTCTATGTAGCCCAAGCTGGCTTGAATCTGTGGTGATCCTTCTGCCTCAGCCCTCCGAGTACTGGGATTGCAGCCATACCCAGCTTTACTCTCTTGTATCCTCTGAGCAAGCCGGGTACTTTGTCCACAGCAGACACTGAGCTAAGTGTTCACTGCGGCATATATTAGACTCCACATATGTTACAGGAAAATCGCTGTAGGGACTCAGGTGAGGGAGTGTTAACTTCCCCTGTTTGTTTTGTTTTGTTTTGTACCAGGGATTGAACTCAGGTCCTTGAGCTTGTGAGACAGGTAGCAGAGCTACTGAGCTAAATCCCTGGCCCTCCCCTGCGTTTTGTCTCTGCTTTCTTGACTGTTTACACACTTGCTACACAGTCAAATCCATACCTACAGCTTTTGTTCTAATACCTGTCAGGTCTGCATTTCTTAACCCAGAGTCCCTGCCATCTGAACTCTCAACATTCCATTGGAATGTCAGGTTGAACAAGTGCAATCCTGAATACATTATCTCCTCCACAAACCTGTCCCTTGTCCTATATTCCCTGTACTATGTGGCTCTACCATTGCCTGTGATTATTCAAGTGAGTAATCTGGAAATGCTTCTCCCTCTCAATATGAACATCTTAATTTACTCAGCTTTATTGCTTTATTTTTTGAGACAGGGTCTCACTCTAATTTAGCCTAGCCATAAACTCCATGTAGCCCAGGCTGGCCTAAAGTTCACAATGATCCTCCTGCCTCAGTGAATGGTGAGGTTACAAGCATGGGTACACCTGGCCAGCTCTATCACTTTAAACTTACAGATGCCCTCTCTGTTATTATCTCTCTAATTCAAGCCTTCATCTTCTTGCTAGACCTCTGGAGTTTTCTTTTTTTTTTAGACAGGGTCTGGTTATTAGTTCAGGCAGGCCTCGAATTTACAGCAATCCTCCTGCCTCAGCCTCCAGAGTGCTGGGGTTACAGGCATACTACTATGCCTGGCTGGAGTTTTCATTATCGCCAAACCTACCTCCGTAATTATTTTTTACACTGCTGCCCAAGGGGGCTTTCTAAAGGCAAATCCAATCCTAAGATTCAACAGTCATCAGTCACCCCCTTTCACCCTAAGAATAAAGCTCAAACTCCGTAACAAACTACACAAGGCCCTTGTTGTTTGCTCCTTTCATTTGTGTTCAGGCTCTGATGCCCTGTACTCAGCTCCACAAGTGAAGCAGAGTTTCTGAACAAGCCATGTTTTCTCAGGCCGCCTTCCCTCAGGAGCCACTGTCCCCTTCCTCTCCTTGCTCACCCTTGCTTGGCCTTCAAGAAGCCAGCCTGGAGGCCCGGCGTGGTGGTGCACGCCTGTAATCCCAGCACTCGGGAGGCTGAGGCAGGAGAATCGCTGTGAGTTCGAGACCAGCCTGGGCTACATAGTTCCAGGTCAGTCTCAACTACATAGTGAGACCCTGTCTCAAAAAACCAAAAAAAAAGGCCAGCTTGGGCGCACAGGTCTCTGTCCAGTCTTTCTCCCCTCCCCGTAGCCTTAGTACCTTGCAGGTGCTGAGAGCCACCTCCTCGGACACTTGATTAACTTCTCCAGGCCTGCCCTTAACTATGCTTTGAGGAGAGATACCGTGTCTTTATCTCTCAAGAATCTGACTTAATGCCTGGCACGTGGTGAATACTTAATAAAAAGGGAAACTTGAGAGGTTACCAATGAAATGCTACCGGTGAGAAGGGGGTGCGTTAGAGAGTTTGTGGGCCAGAGTCGACCTCCGAGGAATTTCCTCCATTCATCTCCACTGACTGCTCCCTGACACGCCTGGAAGGTTGGTGAGTACGGCTGCATAATTGTCAGATACTTTCTTAACATCTCAGTATTTCTTATCCCAGCTGAAAGCACTGAGAGAGCACACCACAGTGTGTCTTGCGGAAGAACACCAATCCCATGAAATGCTCTGTAGGGTGAAGGAAGGGTGTGTTCAGTGGTCATAATCTTGGGAAACACAAATCATTTCTTTTTCTTGGAGGATCTCAACAAATACTAGCATGGAAAAGGCTCTGAGAATTCCTGCTGTTAATTCATTTTGATTTTGTTTAGCTCATCAGTGTAAACCAAGCATTTGACCACTGAGCTGTTTTTGTCATGGTATATAACTGATTCATGAATGCTCCTTGAGGACCACTAATGCAGCACTCTGATTTACAAAATCGGGCCCCTCCTAGAGTGCAGTTAGATTCCCAGTGGAAGTCAGGATTCCCCTGAGGAGACCCCTGGGATTTCACCTGTCGAGGAAGGTCCCTCCAGGAGTAGCTGGATCAGTACATACAGCTTGTACAGTTTAAGGAGCAGGACTTTCAAAATGGCCAAGTAAGGAAGGAGCTGGGCAAAATCATTTACCTGAAAAGGCAATGATAAAATGGATGTGTCAAAAAATTTCAAACACCAAATTAACCAAAGACATGCAGCAAATGGAGATGCATTTAATATCTACTGATTCTTAGAGCAGTGGAAGTTGCACTGTGTTAGGCTAGGGCTGCTGCCACCCCACCTCCCCTTGTCCCCATCTCTGTCTCTTCCAAGTGGAGTAGAGAATCCTGTATCTCATGGCAGCCCCAACTGCAGCTGCCCCAAGCTCTTGGCTGAGATTGGGGGTAGCCACGGCCTGGCAGCTAGCCGGTAGCAACTGAACAGGAAGATTTGGGGAATGAGTCACCTAGAGTGTTATCCGATATCCCTCCTCGAGGTCTGGGAGGCTGTGCTCATGCACAGGACTGTGTGCATTTAAAGAGAGCTCTAGTGAGCATGAGGCCTTAGAAACATGAAAAATATAAGCTAGAACAGACTTGGACCTGCATCGCCAGGCTGCCTACAGAGTTGCTACTGGCTGCAAGTGCTTGTGCACAATGTCTGACCAATCATTGGCTGACCACTAAGGATGCCTTTCTGGATGGGTCCCTGGGAAACCAGGCTTAAAAATCAAAGTGAGAATTGAAACCAGGAAGGAGGGAGGTAGGTGGAGATCAGATACAGAATTAGTCTGTCAAATCGCTAAACCCAAACAAACCACCCCAAATGGGAGTGGGACAACACAGAATCCAGAGTTGCTGCAGTATGTTATCTGAGAGAAACAATGTGCAAAGAAACAGGGAAGTATGACCCATACACAGGAAAAGAAGGGACCGGTAGAATCAGTGTCATTGAGGTGGGTGTAATTGGTTTGGTCTCCTGTATTTTTCACATGACTTTTTATTAGAGGCAATTTCTGGTGACTGCTTGGTGCTCTGTGGGGTGGACATACCAGAATTGATCTGACCGTGCCCCTAATTGCGAGACTTTTTTTGTTGTTTTATTTTGTTTGAGATGAGATGGGTCTTGCTATGTTCTCGACAGTTCTAGAGCTCCAGCAACTCTCCCATCCCAGCCTCCTGAGTTCTGGGAGTAGAGGTGCCTGGATAGAAACACCATATTTTTAAAGTTGCTTTTTTTCTCTCTCTCATTTGAGCGCTTATGATTATTTCCTTAATATAATTTTCTAAAAATGGAACTTAAAATGAACTACTTTTAATTTTGTTTGTTTCATTGTGGTGCTGGGGATCAAACCCAGAGCCTTGAGGATTCTAGGCAAATGCTGTACCTATGACTACACCCTCCGCCCCCCAAATGAGGTAAAGTCCCTCATGAATGTCGCTAGATTAAGCTCCAGACAAATTGCAGAATATGACACCTGCATCAGCATTGAATATGGGTACTGCCCCACCCTCACTTGCCAGGGCGTGTGCTTCAAAGCTAAGGGAAAGAGGGTTGGTCATCATCCTCACT